GAGAGGATTTACGCCTTCAAAAAGTTGCTGTATTCAGCCTCGACAGTTGTCAACCCAGTAGTTAAATCAGTCTGCCATAATTTGCAACCCCTCACCCCCGCCCTTGTTTATGGAGGCTGGCGCCGCCAGTGCCTGGACACCAGCCGACAAACTGTCAACATAGCTATATCAGAGTCTGGAATAGAAGTTGATGTTTTGGTCGAGATCAAGGAGCGTGTCTGGAGTAAAATATATTGTAATCAGCCCCTCTACAGCTCCCTCTACATAATAATCGTTGATATACCTGAATTATCACCCCGGTCTGTGTTTTCGTAATTTCTATTATATATTGTCATGATAACCACCTTTAGACAACCTATTTCTGCTTTCAGATATAAAATGAACAACTTGTTAATTGTGCTTCTATTTCTTCAAACATTGGTGTTTATTTATGGTAAGATATCTTCATTGTTTTTAAGGGTTTTGATTTGGAGTTTCTAATTTCTAATTTTTCCATTTTTTTAAAAATCAAAATCAAGAGATACCACTTGTTACCTGAATTATTGAAAAGTTTTTGTCATTTTTATAAGCTACACCCACAAATAGTTTGGGCGTATATTGTAATCACCCTGTCGCCCTGTGGCTTGTGCTCATTCTACAGGCAACAATTATTAATGGACGGATTTGATTTTTATTTGGTGTCATTATGAAGATTCCGAAAATTCACTCTATTCTGCTTTATAGTACAACTTGTTTACACTCTACAGGCAACAATTCTTTTTGGATTCTTTTGATTTTTATAATCCCACATGTAGTCTATGTGCAGGAATCAAGACATGAGTTAAAAACTAGCCATGATCCGATACAATAAATTTGTTTCAAATTTGTTCTAGATTAAACATGAATCAATCGGAATGGACAACAAACAGTGATTTGTATCTTGCAATCAAAGCTGCTGGTGGGCGTATGTTATCTTGCTTCGCAAAGTAATCTATCATAATCTGATCTGAATTTCAGCATTATATGTGGATGAAAAATGTTATAGTACACAGCCTTGTCATTTTCATAGTCTGAAATGTACTGATGGAAATATAAACAGGATAATAGCTATAACTGATGCCAAGTTTGGATTTAAAACAGAGCGTTGTACCATAGAGGGTTGCGACTTCAGATGCTGTCGCCAGGAAGAAGGGGATTGTTTTGAGCCATTCAGTAAAGATATCCCACTTCAAAAACTTCTGTATGACAGATGCGAGTTTCAAAAGGAGTGCAGTCTGGACAAGCAATATCGTATTCGTGGATGTAAACAAGATTTGTCGACCTACTCTAGGATCGAGTACGATTGTCTGGAGGGTAAGATATTTTTTGTCTAGGGTACGGGCTGAGAGATTTCTAGGGATTCGGTAAATCAAAATCTGCCAATCAAAACAGTACTAATAGTCCTAGATAATTTGGTTGATCTGTGTCAATAGTCCTAGATATTTAACGTTGATCTGTGTCTATAGTCCTAGATATTTAACGTTGATCTGTGTCAATAGTCCTAGATATTTTACGTTGATCTGTGTCGATAGTCCTAGATATTTAACGTTGATCTGTGTCTATAGTCCTAGATATTTAACGTTGATCTGTGTCTATAGTCCTAGATATTTAACGTTGATCTGTGTCTATAGTCCTAGATATTTTACGTTGATCTGTGTCGATAGTCCTAGATATTTAACGTTGATCTGTGTCTATAGTCCTAGATATTTAACGTTGATCTGTGTCGATAGTCCTAGATATTTAACGTTGATCTGTGTCTATAGTCCTAGATATTTAACGTTGATCTGTGTCTATAGTCCTAGATATTTAACGTTGATCTGTGTCTATAGTCCTAGATATTTAACGTTGATCTGTGTCGATAGTCCTAGATATTTAACGTTGATCTATGTCGATAGTCGATATGATTTGCTTATGAAGATTTTCATTGTTTTGTATCAACAGAATCATCTATATTAACAACAACTGAATCTTTAAAGAAGAAACAGGTCTCTGTGTTGTTCAGGGGATCTGACCCGGCGTTTCCCGCCACTGGAATTTCATGTTCCATTCAAACCAAAAGTATCCTGCGAGTTACCTATTATTACACCAGACTGGCACGTGACGGCGTTAGACCCAATTTAGTTTCTGGAACCGACTGTTCTACCAGCAATAAAATGTTTGCCCAAATCAATGATGGACCAATGCTTTGGTGTTTTAAAGGAGAATTGTTCTACATGGAACCTATGTTTATTAGAATGCCTAGTAATTTTAATTTAGTGATCAATAGGCTGGATGATAATGATGTCATATGGATAGGATTCTTTGCTCCTCAGAGTAAGTTCTTATTTAGTTAGAAAGCCAACACAATTTTTGTAATGAAAAACGAAAAAAGAAAGAAACACCCTTTTTACACTCATTATGTAATATGTTGACGAGGATCCTGTTTACCAGCATCTACACATACAATATCAAGCTATTATGAAGTGTCGAATACCTTGTCAAGTTTATAAAGACAGCGATTAGATTAGATTGTAACCTAGTGAATACAGTAGGGCCCTTGACAAAAACAACATATATAATAATAAGTAAATAATTTGACTACACGTGTAATCAATAATCAAAATATAGCCATTACTTAACGCCATCAAGTGAGAGGAACCACAGACCATGTAGTCTTTCACTATGTTATATTGGCTACTGATTTTAAAAGAAACAAAAATCTAAGTAATTTACTTGTCCACGGCAAATTGGACCCCATTCCAGTAATTCTCTGAAACAATTGTATTATGTGTTTTAAACAATTTTTTGGTATTATTTGTAAACATTGTATTATTTCAGTCTTTTTAGAATTCATATTGTTACAATTAATCTTTACAGAACATTTATTATAGTACCATTTCAATCTAATCTTTATTACTCAAATTGATAATCGATGTAAAAGAAGTATGTTCTCTTCTTGTGACCTTGGCCAGTGCTTTTATAGGAGAGTATCTTCTATAACATCTAATACTTGTGACCTAGGCCAGTGCTTCTATATGAGAGTATCTTCTATAACACCCAACACTGTGTAAAATGATAGAAAACTTGAAAGTGAGTCGCCAGCATCTTTTTTTTTATTATTGTAGCAGACTTGATTTCTTCAAATCTTCAGGTTCTGAGGTAGTGACGATTAATTGTGACGTTTTAAACAGAACTCTGGCTGTAAATACAACTGCGACTGTACCTACAATTGCGACTGTACTTACAACTGCGACTGTCACTGTACCTACAACTGCGACTGTACCTACAACTGCGTCTACAGATACGGATGATGATGAGAAATCAGATAAGGGTAAGTGACGTAGAATTCTTGTATCTTTCATCTGATCTTTTAGCAAAAGTTTTTTTTTAATAAAAAAAGAATAAATAAATAAAAAGGAATAACAAAAATTTGAAAAAGGAAAAGAAGATATGACGTCTACAGAAAAGTGAATTATCGCTTGAAGTCTCTCGAGATAAAAACTTGACAAAAACCTTATTTTCTTCGTTTGATAAAGCAATCTGAAACACTGAAGGAATATTTTTTTTTATCCCACCACATTAATTTTTTTATTTTTTTTTTGTAATGTTTTTAAAATCTAGGAAATAAAAGAGTATGTAAATAATTGCCAACTCTATCCAAATTACGATGAAGTTTTAAAATTGACAAATTCAACTATCTAATCGTGCGATAAGATAGCTAATTTTGATCAAAGGCTGTTTCTAACATATCAAAAATAAAGTCAAACTGCTGCCGGTCGTGTTACTTGATGACCTGCACCCTGTAATATTTTAGTTTTATTTGTAAATAATATTTTTAGATGTTTGTATTGGAATTGGGGCTGGAGTTGGATTTGGAATAATAGTAATCGGTATCCTAGTGATGGTTGTGGTGGTAATTGTTAGGAGAAGGTGGGTATTACTTAGTAAAACATGAACCGACTATAAACGACCAAGAACAGAGCAGAAAAACACCCAGGAAACGACCTCAAACTATTTTGTAATGAATTCTCAGCATGCTAATCATGTCATGTACTTCATCTGAATAAATATCTTCCTGGTCTGGTCATGTTTAAGTAAATACTGTCCGTCTACCGACTTTTTGTTGCAAGTCCTTATGAAGATACCCTCTTCGTCTGGTTTTCGTCTGCACACGAGTGAGATCTCGAGAAGGAGTTTAATGAGGTTTCAAATTTCATGACAAAATTCTCACGCACTCGGCCCCGGGGCCACAAACCTTTTCCATATAGGTTGTATTGTTATCGTTAATATTTTATTTTTCATATTGTTGTCAGACTAACCAGTAAAAACTGTTTTCTAATTGAAAGTACAATTTCGTTTCCAACTTGTTCTAATTTTAGTTAGATTGACCTGGGTTCAACTTAGATACCAACTCAAACACAATTAAACATTTTATAATTGCAGGATAAAGCCAAAGAAGGGGCCGATTCAAATTTACTCTGAATTGGCATATGATGATCAGGAAGATGTAAACTGTTATACTAATATAGAAAGATTGTCGGGAACCAATTAGAAAATTATTAGCAGGGATCTCTTTTTTTTACAAATACTGAATATACGGGGACCCATTAAGATTGTTTTTATTATAAATATTGCTATTTTTGTATATTATTAGATTGTTTACGGTAATGATATAACTGTATTATTAAATGTACAGCGTCACCATCCTTTTAACCAATCATACCCTAGTCTCAGAAAGGAGAATTATTTTTGAGCTAAGCCAATCAGTTATAGTGTTCACAGCTCACTGTCGAAATTTGAGACTACCAATCCATGTGTGTCCAGAATTATCTGCATTTGAAAGTTAAAATGACCACTCATTTTCTTCTTAAGACACTGCCATATATAGAAATGACATCTATAGAAGTAGAAAGTGAAATTCTTAGTTTGAGATATTTTTAAAGGAATTATATTTTTCTCAAAGCGAAGATATTCTAAGGCTATCTAAGTACTCTTTTGAGGCTGATACTCCAATTCTCTTTAAAAATATCGAAAAAATTCAAAACAAATTTCAATTTGCTTAGACAATAGGCCAATATTGATGAGATCTCAGATGAGGTTGATTTCCACGATTTTTCAATGTATAGAATTTGATTTTTTATGTTTTATGAGCGAGATCTTTGCACTTTACTTTGGTGAAAATGGCCTTATTCTGACAGGCTTTCAGTGATATCTGCAGATAAATCCACTTGAAAAGGCCCCATTCCCCCATAATAGTTTGCTATGTGTATTGATTGCCCACTTATATTACATTATTACAAGTTTACAGACACAAGAAGGACAGTAAAATCCAGCTCCCAATGGATGATCTAGGTGAAAAAAGAATTGTAATAAAAAAACACACAACCCAGAGTCTATTCGAGAAATATTAAAAATTGGTGGAAGGAGGTGGTTGCGAGCTGTAACGTTCTTCTATTGCCATGACCTTGATATCATCTGCCCCTTTAATAATGAATACAGAGCCGAATATCTACACTCTGGCCCCATCAAGTTCTGAATCACATTTTTTTCTTTTTAGTATGAATTGAAATATTAATCTCCAAATATTGCTGAGAGTCTAAGATTGTCTTTGGGTTGATGAAAATGCCAACCATTGAAAACAAACTTATTTGAAACTATGATTTTACAGAGGGAGATTTTCAGTTCAAAATGTGTCATTTTCACATGAAATTTCTTGGAGAGAAGTGTGTACATTTCAAGCGCAAAATTTTCAAAACTTATATATTCATGGACCCAAAAGGCATTCTGAGACTATTGGTATGAACTTGAAAATCATATTTTGAATATTTGTGACATGAGAGAAAAAATTCAATTTAGAACTCAATGTGGCCAGAGAGTAGCTGATTCATGCATGTTTGAGCAGAGTATTGTACATATAGTGTAAAGTAGCTCATTTGCCAGAGATGCCTCGTATCCTATTCTTAAAAATATCAGTGGTTTCAAAACTATTTTATAGCTCAAATCCACGAAACTAGAAAACTATTGTATATTATAATATTATCAATAATCTTGTCGTTATCTTATTTTATCTTCATCAAGTTTTTTTATATTCATGATGTGCTATCATATTCTTATAGCAGTGGACCTAACATTGAATTTAATGTCATAACTAACAAATACTGCAAGTCATTGAATTTGTTTGTTGTCCAATTGTAATGATATGAACCATTAACATCATAACTCCATATCTTTGTTATTGATCCTGAAAAATAACTTTTCAAAATAACTAAATTAAAATTACAATACATGTCATAAAAACTAGGGTGAGTGTAATCTATAATACAACACCTGACAGCTTATAAAATTAAAAACCTCAAAAAGGTGATCAGAAATGGAGAATAAAACAATGCAGGTTTTCAACATTTTACTATTTCTTTTCACCTTACTATTAATTGACATCTGCTCCTAAAATCTTACCTCAATTTTTAAAAGACCTTTATTCCTGTTTGTTCTCAAGATTCTTCGAAAATAGATGAAGAACAGCCAGATGAGTTTAATTGAAGTAAATATACGCTATTCTTCTATTTGATATAAAAACATTGTAAAAGCATACAGAACTACCAGATCAATCTTTCCGCCACAATCTAATCTGAAATATAAAGATTAAAATTGAAAAAAAAAGTTATAAGGCCAGTACAGTCTATGAGTTAATATATGAAAGCAATTATGTTCTGTGCACAGAAATAATATATGAGTGGTCATCCTTCAATCTGGAACAGATTAATCACCTATAATAATCTGGAACAGATTAATCACCTATAATAATCTGGAACAGATTAATCACCTATAATAATCTGGAACAGATTAATCACCTATAATAATCTGGAACAGATTAATCACCTATAATAATCTGGAACAGACAATATGAAAAATATTCATCTAAGATCAATCATTAACATAAAAACTTCAATTAATACCGTCGATTGTGGACACTTCTCCCAGCTTTAACTGGTAATCCAGCAACCATTATAATCTCTTTCCCCTTGTCAGATGGAACTCTTTCAGGTCAGTCATAATTTGAAGTAAAATATTCTATTTTCAACCAGCACATCTCCAGTGTGTTTTATACCTGAATATTATATTTTCAACCAGGACATCTCTAGTGTGTTTTATACCTGAATATTCTATTTTCAACCAGGACATCTCTAGTGTGTTTTATACCTGAATATTCTATTTTCAACCAGGACATCTCTAGTGTGTTTTATACCTGAATATTCTATTTTCAACCAGGACATCTCTAGTGTGTTTTATACCTGAATATTCTATTTTCAACCAGGACATCTCTAGAGTGTTTTATACCTGAATATTCTATTTTCAACCAGCACATCTCTAGTGTGTTTTATACCTGAATATTCTATTTTCAACCAGAACATCCCTAGTGTGTTTTATACCTGAATATTCTATTATCAACTAGGACATCTCTAGTGT